TGTAGGAACTGAGCTAAGCCATGAAACTAACCTCTTCCTCTCCCCAGAAAGTCAGATGGTTGAAAGGAAGGATTAAGTCCCACATGTTACGGAGTAGGTTTGTTTATCTTTTTGTATGTACCTTTAGAAGTAAATATTTCCAGAGTACAGGGGACCCACCCCTACAACTGAGAAAATACAATTGGTGGGGTCTGGAACAATGGAAGAGAGCCCAAACAACACCTTAAACCCCTTAAGCCCCTTAAAAGGTACCCAAGAATCCTAGGGAAGGGACAAAATGTAATATACCTGGCCTCTAGGCAGGCTTTTTACACATTATTATACATCTTTATATTCTTCATATTTTAATCTTAATTGAAATATAGCTTTTCATTACATTAATAAATCATAATTTATTTAACCATTCCTCTACTTTTGGACATTTGAGTGGTTTCTAGTTTTTCTTTTTAATGACAAATAATGCTGCTCTAAAAATCTTTGAAGACAGTGCTTCTTTGCTTGCTTTTTATACTAATTTTACTGATTTTTTTTTACTGGGTCTCCTTGGATTATTTTGCATGTAATTTGTATTTATGTACATGTTGTCTCCCTCAATAAAATGTAAGCTCCTTAAGGGCAAGAATAATTTCATTTTTTCCTTTGGATTCCCAGTATTTAGCACACTTCTTGGCATATAGTTGGTGCTTAATAAATGCTTGTTTTTAATGAATTGATTACACATGGCTCCTTTAAAAAACCCAAAAGATTCATTTGATACCTTTTGTTTTTTACACCCAATATCCACTCCCTGCCTCCTATCGTACTCTCCTATGTAACACAGAACAGTTAAAGCTGATGAAAAGATCGCATCTGACACTATACAATATTCTATTCCCATCATCTCTGTCTTTCTATAGAGAAAAGTATGACTCATCACTTTCCCCCTGGGACCAAGACTGGTGATTGCAATTGATCTGTTTAGCAGTCTTTCAGTGCCATTTTCAATTTATATCATTTTAGGCATTGAGAATATCATTCTTCTGGTTCTTTTTTCTTCAAATTTCAGATATTACTATTTCTCTCCACAGGTTTCATCACATTTTTGACCCACTTCCTGAGGTACAATAAGGAGTTTCAGAGTTTGCATGGTGATAGCCAACTGAGGGTTCTCATAGATCAAGGAGAAAATGCCAAGAACCCCAACAACAAAATGTGGGTGAAAAATGCTGTTGTATTGACCTCTGCAAGAAAATGATGCCAATTCATGCTAATAATAACTATTTGGGGCAAGTGTAATGGAGCTGCCATCACAAACTATACCAAACCTACCATTTTCTTAAAAACTTCACTCATTTACTTTTCTGTGAGGTGTTTTTCCTCTCAGTTTAGTGCCTAGCATGACTTTTCCTGGCCTTTTATGAAATCAGCCCATCACCCTCAGTTACTTGGACAGAGCAGTTTCTGCTCTGTTTTCACTGTCCTCACAGATTCCCAGACTATAGCCATTTCAGCAATGATCTCCTAGACTCTTATGATCTTCAGTCTCCATTACAAAGAACTGGAACAAGAGTTTCCACAGACTTGTCAGGAGCCATCTAGTCCAACCTGAAAGAGAATCCACTCTTACAAAATATCTGATTTTGTTTAAGGACCTCCAACGAGGAGGAACCCATTAAGCTCCTAGGCTCCCATTTGTAGCAGAAGGACCCTCTTCTCTTAAACAGCTGTCTGGTCCTCAAGTGGCCAGTAGCAAAGAACAAAACAAAACAAAACTGTCCCACTCCCCATCTTTGCCTCTAGGTCATCAGCTGTACCTCTCAAGTATACGGTTATGAAATTGCTAATAGCATAAAGAATTCTTATCCAAAATGCTACTACTCTGTGATTTTCTGACACTTTACTGAGATGGAAGGTCACAATCATATCTCTAAAAATGCAATATGAGCAGCTTACTCAAGAATCACTGGGCCAATGTCCAAATATTCTTCCGGGTTGGGTAGTCTGACTGGGCACTCTGCACAGATTGATTTAAAATAAACGGTTGCATGTTACATACATGCCATGTCAAAAGACTCACAATTATCACCCAAAATGGTCTATCCTTGACTTTCTAATTTATTTGCATGACACTTTCTCATTAATAGTAATATTCTGAATTTACGAAGCAGTAAAGCCCCACATCAAATCTGTGATCAGAATGGAATTAGTGCCCAAATCTGCTTTCTCATGCATTCTGATTTCTGATGGTACCTGCCACCTAAGTTTGTAAAGACATGGTTTTAAAGTTTAAATGGATTTCAATTGAATTAAGCAGATTGTAATATAAGACTACTCTCTCTTGGTTCCTCTAATCTAAAGAGATCTTTTTAATAGAAGATAAATGGGTCTTCGTTGCACCTTTAAATACTTAGAGGGACCTGTGGGACATCAAAAGAGCAGACTCCTCAAATCTTCTCTTTAATACTTTTTGCATGTTAGGAAAAATGATTTACTTCCCCTTTTTAATGGAATTGTGTTACCTGCTTTTATCAGCTCTTTGTGGTATGGACCTGATCAAAAGATGTCATAGAAAGATAACTCCTCTATGCAGCATGTGCTCACTGAGAGCACTGGTGGATAGAGCAATTCCAAAGGGCAAATCAGGGCAAGCATATTAAAGCTTTGAGAGATCCTTTTTAATTTTGGGGACCTTCTCCTCCTCCAAATTCCCTATTTCTGTTCAAGGTACCATTTTCCTTCTAGTCACCCAATTTCACTACTTTGAAGTCACCCTTCACTTTCCCCCTCTCTTTTATCCCACTTTATAGCCAATCAGTGACAAATTTACTCCTACAACATCTCTTATATCCACTCCTGTCTGTCTCAATCATATGGTCCTAGTTCAAGCCCTCATCACTGTTGCCTGAACTACTCTAATAGTCTAATTGATCTCCCTACTCCAAGTCTTTTGCCTCTCTAATCCATGCTCTACACAAAATAATCTTCCCAAGACATAATTCTAACTATATTATTCACCTTCTTTGCATACAGCTTAAAATACAAACACAATCTGTCATTTAAAACCCAAACATGGTTTCAGCCTACCTTTCCAGGCTTATTTTGTGTAATCCCCTTCACATACTCTATGATCTAGTTAAACTGGACAGTTAGCTTTTCTCTTGCGTTTGGTATGCTGTCTTCACAAAGCTGCTCCCATGCCTGGAAAGCACACTCTCTTCCTCTCAGAACCTTTGTTTCTCTTCAGGGCTGGCTCATGTGTTACCTCTTTCAAGTAGTCTTCCTTAATCCCATCAGTTGTTAATGCCCTCTCTGTTCACAAATTACCTTGTGTTATGCTTATATGTATATATGTTGCATGCTTCTATTAGAACATGCCCCTTGAAAAGAGACAGATATATTTTTGGTTTTGTATCCCCTGTGCCTAGCATAGTGTTGTACACATAATAGGTACTTAATAAATATTATTGTATTGAGTTAAATGGAGAAGAAGAATACTGATTGGTGCTAAAGAATGAAGCTTATCAATGTGATGATGAGTTGGGTAGGATATAGAACTAAAGCTGGTTGCCTGAGATAGTACATCCTGACCCCTTCCACAAATATCTCACAGGTTTCATGTTAACCTTTGGTAATATCTCTTCCTTTTTTTCTTTTTTCTTTTCCCTGCTTCTTTCAAAGACTATCCTTATGTTCATTTTACCTGTGTAAAAATGCTTTTGGGGAGGAAGAAAAAGGGAACCTGGTATGATTTGGCTTTGGGGTTGGGGCTATCCCCTAAGAGCTGGCTCTGCAGACTGTATTTGACTTTCGCATGATTTTAGAAAACTGTAAGAATTCCAGAAATTGCTGTGGGATTAGTCAAGACTTTTAAAGTACTAAAATCTGTTCCTGTCATTTACAGTTCTAAAAAGTAGTCTTTTCAAAAGGTGGTCTTCAAATACAAGGCAGTTCTTTATCAGGTTTCATTGGTCTGACATTGTCATGTAGAATCAAAACTGTATGACTGTCAGGGGCCTCAGACCTAGTCTCAAAGAAGGACTCTATGAGGGGAGGCTAGGTGGTGTAGATAGATCTCTGGCCTTGGAGTCAGGAGGATCTGAGTTCAAATCGGGCCTCAGACACATGACACTTACTAGCTGTGTGACCCTGGGCAAATCACTTAACCCGACTGCCTCGCCAAAAAAAAAAAAAACGGACTCTATGACTAACCAAAACAACTCTCCTAACCTGAGGGAATGATTTAAAAATAAGGAAATTAGAATTTGCTTTTTTGATGAAAGTGATTAACATTTTGTTCTGAGTAAACACAAATTGGTTCATTTCAATACATGTTATCAACAATTCGGGGGTAAATGCATGCATGTAAATTTCATTTAACCAGTCTGGCTTAAAAATAGCTTTTACATTGTAGGATATCAATTTTACCTTTGAAAAGTACGGTAGAAAGCAAATGCTTTTTTTAAATGTTTATTGTTTTTCCGAAATGACAATCTCAAAATGCAAAGTAAACCGAACCTTACTGTATTTTGTTTAAGGTGATTTAAAGCGTATTTAGGATTCAAGATCTGAGAAGTTAGTAGAGTTATTCCTTCTCCATTTTTACCAACTAGGGAGATTTCAGCATATCTAGAAAATATATTACATTTTAAATCCTAGGAAGCTCCTTTACTTTTCATGTAGTTAGTCAAAAGATCACTGTGAATTTATTTTTCCTTGTGGTTCTCCCAAAACAGTTGTGTATCTTGAACTCATATTGAACTAGAGACCTTCAAGGATGGAATACAATTATAAATTGGAGCAGTTTGACCACCTACCCCATCAAAATCATCAGGTATGAATCCCATTATTCCTGTGCTCTATTTTCTTTAACTCATGTGCCACCATAATATTGGGGGAAATGTACATTTCTTATTACATTTTTCATATTATTTGTAAATCACCTCAGACTCAAGTTCAGAGTTTAAAAAGTTTAATTATATTGGTAAAGTTATGGTAAAAATTATACACATCAATCACAGGATATAACATCACTGTCACTTTCTAGCTCCAATTTCCCTTACATTTTGGAGTCTTCTGACCTGGGAAGAAGAGAGAACTTCAAGGAGGAGCTAGACACAGGCAAAGTAGTGCACAACAGATTGTCCACAACAGGATTGAAGAGCATTGCAGAAGTTTTCGGTGATTCTCTTCCCAGCTGCATGGAAGAGTCATGTAGTCAGATCTCCAAATTCCATGGCCCTTTATTTTTCAGATCCTGGAAAATCTTTGAGGCATTTGATACTTGTCTATTCCTGCAAGCCAGCAATGCAAAGGACCAAAACCTAAAATCCTCGGTTTTGGTCCTGCCTGGCTGAAACAAATATAAAAATGACAAGCAAGATGAGGAAGAAGTCTGACTGTGTTTTGGTCCTGGTCTCCATTTCTGACTTTTTCATCTCTCTTTCAAAATTGATGACATCCCTGAGTCTTTCATCGTACCCACAAGTCAGTCCAATACAGGCTGGCACAAAAGCCAGCCAGAAGGCATGTTGGTACTGATAGGCCCTTTGGAAACACTGTATCACAGCTACAAATATAAATATTAGATTAGATGACGAGCTGCTTAGAAACAAAGGTACACACTATTTGGATTCATTTTAGTTTCATCCTGGATAAAGATCCAGCTACGGTTTATTTTCAAAGATCGTCACCCCAGGGCATTTCTCGTATACTTACGAAGGGCATGACACTTAGCAGAGACAGTTTTTTGTTTAAATGGGGGACAGGACACTAAAGAAGACTTCATAAACATAGGGCTCATGTCTCTGCTTGGCCACTTAATAGCACTGACTTTTGTGAAGTCACTTGACTTCTAGGATTTAGTTTCCTTATCTGTAAAATGAGGGTGAAAAATGCTTATTTCTCAGGGTTGTTATAATCAAACAAGATAAAATACATGAAAACATTTTTTAACCTGTAAAGCACCATATACATTTAAAGCATTATTAGACATCAGGAACGCAAAGAAACTCAATCCCTAATTGTGAGCAATTAAAAAACTCTTTTGGAAAAGAATATGCAAAGAGATAAATTAAAAATAAGTGCTGGTATGTGCTAAGTGTCATATACATATGAGCTAGATGAAGGAATTCAAAGGAGGCAATAATCACTGAGAAATGGGGAAGCCTAAGGTTTCAGGAAGGAATTGGGGGTTGAGCTTACCAACCAGAGAAAAGGAAGAAGAGGCAAAAGATGGGCAAGGAGTGCACTCCAGATAGGAGAAACAAGAGCAAACGCAGAGAGGGAAAGATATTCCTAAAGCATGTGAGGAAAAACAACTAAGTCAATTCAACCAAAGTGCTCGATCAGGTTGGAGATTAGGTAGGAGGTCCTTGAATGCTAAATTAAGGGGATTATACTTTGTTCTATAGGCAGTGGGGAGATCCTGAAGGATTTTTTAACGGGGGAGTTGGGTGGAGGCAGACAGGGAGCAGGGGACCTATCAAGACACTAATGTGAACGTGAGGTCAATAGGACAATTGTATATAACATGGATTGAATTGACATTTGAAGATTATTGCTGTAGCACAAGCATGAAGTGTTGAGGGCCTAGACTTAGGTGACGTTGGTGGTAAGAATGGAAAGGAAGTAATACGTGGATGTGAGAGACATGAAGAGCTGGCAGCACTTGAAAACTAACTAGCTGTAGAAAGAGAGAGGGAAGAAGTGAAGGACCACAACTAGGTTTCCAACTTTGGTAGCTAGGAAATGATCAAGCCATTAATAAAAGATAGGGGATATAGGTGGACATGTTCCTTTCCATTAAGCGTGAATTGCCTAAATAATGTCCTATAAACAAATAAACAAAAAAAGGAAAATAGGGACACCAGAAATCTAAGGGAAGACAAGTAAGAGATCGAAGAATTGATGAGTTCCTGCTATATTCCAGGCCTATTTGTATGTTATTCTGTAATCTTGAATAAAGTTCTTGACATTCCTGTTGCCTCTTGCTTTTTAACTACATGGTTGATTGAAAAGCTAACTTTGAAGTCAATATGACTGAGAACTCAGAAAAAAAAATTCAATTATGTATTATTCGGTTTGCCCCTTTAACTTGCTACTAGATGTGATTCTTAAATATATATATTTGAACTCATAGTGTTTCTTTGTCAGATGATGAATGTTATCCTGTTTTCACATTTGATTAATTAACCTAGTTGGGATGATTATTTTAAAGCCACCCTGGATGTGGAGCCTCTCCAGGCTTATTTACAAAATTTCCATTAGAGGCCTTTCAATTCAACTAGGACAGATCTGAAAATAATATTTGACAACAGAGTATTCATAATTGCTTTCCCTAATTGCGTAGGATAAGGGTGGCAAACTTTAAAAGGGTGTTTGCATCAAGTGCAGCATTTCAATTTACTTTGGTAAATTATTTTCTCCTGTTGCCGATATCATGTCTAATTTTATGAAATGTCATTATGCCCATAAAAAAGAGCGAAAATGGGATTGGGGAAGGGTTAACAATGGGAGTAAATGCTCCAGCAAATATCTTGCTGGTTCATCACCAATACACATGCATTTTAAGACTTGAGGAACAGCCCCCCCCCCCGACCTCCCCTCTCCCAAAGCTTGGCCATAAAGCAGCTGAAATGCCACAACAAGATTGTGCCCTGGAGACAATTATGGGATCTTGAAGACTATGTCAGGGAAACACAGGCTCTGACAGCCTGTACTGTGCTAGAAAGGGTTTTCTAGGACAGTCCTGGCCACAGATTGTATCTGCTTTTTGACAACAAATCCAGTTCATAGAGACATACTCATCACCAGTTGGCTGGACATTTGTTTATGAATTCTTTGGCTGTGGCAACAATCAAACAAACAAATGAAATACAAAATGGCCCTTAGATCTGTGCAGTCCCTTTCTGCTTCTACAGCAATGATGGCAAAGTGACAGCAAAGTGGGCAGAAGGTACTAAAAACCACAAGAAATTCCATAAGAGGAAGCCCTCCCTCCCTACTACCCACTGCCCACTGCCTGCTAGATAGATCTCTGACAGACTTGTTGGAGGATATGGACTGAACTGGCACAGAATAGCTTAGCATGGCTGGAATAAGATCTGTATCTCAGGAGGGGGCACTTATGTCAACAGGATCACAGATCCATGGAAGTATGGAAGCATGGAAGAGTTTCTCTTGACCAAAAGTTATAGGAGGTAACCTGGTAGATGGGAGATAGTACAGATTTTAGGATAGAGTGCCAGATTGGAAAAAGCCCTGGCTTGGGAGTCTGGAGACCTGGGTTTAAGCTAGTTCTGACTGCACAAAACTCAGTGAACTACATGACTGTGGGTGAATTGTTTCACTTGGGGGGCCCAGCTTTTACCCAGAATAAATGGTCTCTGAGGCCCCTTCTAAGCTCTAAGGTTCTAGATCTTCATACTCTATGATTTGCAGTACTGCAGGTCCTGATTAGTGCAAAAAAGGAAAATAAATCCTGTAAAGGTCTCATGTGTTTGAATTTGAACTATTTGAAGTTATGGTTATGTAAAATATGGTCATTGGTTCCAGCCCAATGGAAAAATGCAGTTCAAATTCCAATAATGTGGTTCCCTCACAGGACTCATCATTTGCACTAATAGATACATAGCTATTTTCATTCAAGTTTGTATTTTCCATGGTATTTTTCTTCTTCCCGGGGATCCACAACTCTGGTAGAAAAGTAATGTAATTTCAGGCACTGAACAAAAGACTCCAGGAAGCAAGGGGCTACAACATTCATAGAACATCCAGACAAAATTCTAGATTCGGAGTCAGGAGATTCAGGTTTTGAATCTTGCCTTTGACACTTATTAGCTGTGTGTGCCTAGGAATATAATTTAGACTCTCAGAGCCTCAGTTTCGTCATCTGTAAAGCAGCAATAATAACACCTACAGAAAGCAACCTTACAGTGTTGTGAGAATTGAAGAAGGATTATATCTATAATGTGCTTTATAAACTTTAAAATGCTATCTAATGGCAGCTTATAAATGATTAGCGGAAAGAGGAATGACCTTGGAGCCTGAAGTCCTGGTTTTGAATCCTGACTCTGCCAGTTTGCTGACCTTGGGCAAATTATTTCACTGTTGATTCTTAGTCTATCTACTGTACTCAGATGACTCCAGAGGAGAATATGAGGCTGGTGACTTTGCACAACCCTTCCTCCCTTAAATCCAATTCACTTGCACATCATGGCATCACCTCCCCGATGTCACGGTCCTCTTCGAGAACAAAGGACAATCAGCAAGCAGCAGCACATAAGAAAAATACTATTTATTCTACCTACCTCGAAGGAGGGTCATAAAGGAAAGTTCTTACTAAACTGTTAATACCCGAGTTCTTAAAATCTGGGCAAACAAGTTAGCCTTCATAGGTCTTCTGGCAAACATCTGGCTTCCTTACATAAGTCTATAAAAATGCAAAACAGTTACACAGCAAGGTTAGGGAACTGTGATATCTGATCAGGTACCTTAGTTGGTGATGAGACCCCCTTTCCCTAGGCTGTCTCTTTTTAGTGCTAAATAAAGGTTTGTGTAGGACAATGGAAGAGCTATGAATAATGATTAATTACTGACTTTATTACCATTAGTGGGTAGTGAGTTGGGTAGCACTGACTTTGATTCCACAAACATTTATTAAGCATTCCAGCCATTGTGTTAAATCCTATACAAAGAGAAAAACAAAAGTCTTTGCCCTCAAGGAGCTTACATTCTATTGCCAGTAAACATTTACATAGAAGATTAAATGCAAAATAATTTCTGGAGTTAGCAAATTCAGGATTAGGATAGGCTTTCTGTATGAAGGTGGCACTTGAGATGAAAAAATCTGAAGGAAGTTAGGGATTCTTTGAGCTGGAGGTGTGGGAGTACATTCAGGCATAGGAAATTCAGCTGTGTGAAGTTAGAGAACTGAACGATGGAATATCATGTACAAGACAATTTGGCTGAAATGGAAAAAGTGTAAGGGAATATGTGTGAAATAAACCAGGAAATGTAGACTGGAATAGTGGTTTTATAATCTGGAGGAAGGAAGGGACCATGGAGTTTCTTGAGCAGGGAGGGGAATGACTTCACTTGTTCTGTTGATCACCATCCATAGGAGCTGTTCTATGTGGCAAAAACAGTTTTTAGAACCACACTCGATGAACCTGAGTCTGTTTGCCTATGATTCTATTTGGTGTAGTGCTTAGAAGAGCCCAGAAACCTGGGCTCAAAATCCCCTTCTGTTCATCCTGGACAAGTCATACAGTCCACTGGGGCCTCAGTTTTCTGATCCGTAAAATGAGGGACCCGGAGTAGTTAATTTCTTAAATCCCTTCCAGATCTAAAGCTATGATTCTATGATTGTCTACAAATGCATGGAATAGTGGGGTTCTTCCAACTTTTATGAGGCAGAGAGGAAAAGGGAAGAATTCTTTATACCCCAGCATTTACCCTAGAAAATGCAACATAAAAAACAAGCATTGGGGCAGCTTGGTGGTACAGTGGATAGAGCTCTGGCCTTGGAGTCAGGAGGACCTGAATTCAAGTCTGGTTTCAGACACTTGACACTTACTAACTGTGTGACCCTGGGCAAGTCACTTAACTCTGATTGCCTCACCAAAAAACCAAAAGAAAACAAAACAAGCATTTACGAATCAATCACCATTTGCACTGCACCATGCTGGGGATACAAAGTTTAAAAAAAAAGGAGTGAGAGAGAGAGAGAGGTAGTGTGGTATGGTGAACATAGAATGGGAGTTGGAATTAGGAAGTCCTGAGTTTGAATCAGACATTTACCAGCCTTGTAATCCTTGGCAAGTCACTTAACTAACCTCTCTGGGCTTCAGTTTCTTTATCTGTAAAATGAGGAAGGGCTTGATGACCTCTAAGATCCCTTGCAGTAAAGCTATGGTCTCCAAAAATACACCCTGCTCACAAGAAACTTACATGCAGAGAAAAGGGGCAAAGTAGAAAGTGTCCTTGACTTTGAGTCAGTAAGAACTGAGTTCAAATCCTGGCTCTAACACTTATCTGCTACATGACTATGAGTAAGTCAATTTATTTCCCTCATCTATAAAATAGGATTGTGAGGCTTGAATGGGTTGGGGAATGAGAGAAGGCTTCCCAGGAGAGATGTTGAAGTCTGACTTTAAAGGATGGTTTAGGTACCAACTCAACAGGTGAAGAAGAGAGGGCAAATGACAGGTACAGAGACTGGTGAGCGTGGAGGTGGGAGAGTGCACCTCTATCTGAGGGAAGAAGAATAATCTAATTTGCCTGGTGGGTTGAGTATGTAGCAAGGAGTTATATGAAGTAAGTCTGGAAAAGAAGAATGAGAAAAAGGCCACAGGATGTGATGGCTTCTAGGTCATTGGTGACTGCTGACAGCATTTTCTGTAGACTGGTGAATAGCAAGCCAGTTTATAAGGGGTTGGGAAGATGTCTTTTTGTAAATGGAAGCGTTAAGTTTTAGTGACTTTTTTTCCCCAGGAAGTATAGGAGTGAAGAGGAGAAAGGAAAATAGATGGATGGGATATAACATAAAGGGAAATTGTTTTTTATTCTTTTCTTTAGGAGTGGGAAGTCCTAAACAAGTTTGGACAAATGGGTAGGAGCCAGAAATTGAAGTAGGGACTATATAATCTATGCTAGATTTTTTTTTTTACCTTTCCTTTCTATAGTGGCTATTTTAATGACTTCACATCTGCATCACTTTGCCTTGACTCTCTTCACTCTAGCTCTAAATTCTGGGTCTCAGTTCAGTGCAGCTAAGGTGGTGAAAGGAGGAACAGGACCAGGTGTCCCTTCCTTGGAACCTCTTCAGCTGGACTTGACAGAATGAAGGAGGAAACTTATTAGACTGATATCCAAGTTAGCAGGAGGCCTAGAGAGGAAGACATATTGCTAAACAGTAGGGCGAAAGTTGTTTTAATTAAGTGATGTTGAGCATTTTCTAAATTTGGAGGTGTGAGCTTTTTTCTTGAGAAAGAAAGCAAGGAGACGTGATGAATTAATAATGTGGTTGTAAAATATCAGTGGCTAATATTTTTTAATTTAAAAATTAACCAAACACTTAAAAGATAATCACCTTCCCTTGACATCCACAAAATATCACAAAGAGTTAATATGTGAAGTCTAAGATGCAGCTCAGAAAGACAACCTCCTATACTGTCCCTTAATTACTTCACAATAATAGTAGCTAGCAGTTATGTAGTGCTTTAAGGTTTGCAAAGCTTATTATTATCTAATTTTATCTTCACAACAACCCTGGGAGTTTTTACAGATAAGTAAACCAAGGCAAATAGGTTAAGTGACTTGTCTAGATTCATATACTAGTAACTGTCTGAGGCTGAATCTGAACTCAAGGTTGACCTCAGGTCTATAGGTTCTCTACACTGTTTCAGTTAGTTCTACTAGCAGGGGTGGGGAATCTTTGTCCTCAAGACCACATGTGGCTCTCTAGGTCCTCAAGTGTGGCACTGTGACTGAATCCAAATTTCACAGAACAAATCCCCTTAATAAAAGGGTTTGTTCTGTAAAACTTGGATTCAGTCAAAAGGCTGCACCTGAGGACCTAGAGGGCCACATGTAGCCTCGAGTCTGCAGGTTCCCTACCCCTGCACTAGGGTATATATGTTTTAGTTATTCTCTAGTAATTTTAAAATCAGGATAATAACAATCAATAATTATATAACACTTTAAATTTTGCAAAGTACCTTATGTGTATTATCTCATCTGATCCTGACAACAATCTTGGGAAGTAGGAACTAACGACAGGTGCTATTATACAAATTTTGCAAATGAGGAACTTGAGGCTTAGAGTTGTTAAATAACTTGCCCGTGGTCACATAGTTCCTAAGTGTCAGAACAAGATTCAAACCCAGCCCTGACCTGATCCAAGTCTATCCACCATGCTATGCTGCCCTACTCAGGAATTTTACCTTAAAATCTTTCTGCTGTAAACAAGCCCAGCACCTCTAATTTTTGAGAGGCAATGCGGTATAGGGGACAGGAAGCTTGTCCTGGATTCAGGAAGAGTTGAATTCAAATGCTGCCCCTGAGATACTGGCTCTCTGACAGTGAGTAAGATCAATTAACTTCTTAGTGACCTAGGTAGCTAAGACCATAAGTTACAGGTGAATTACCTGCATTGGTGGGAGATATTTTCCCCTTAATGGTTCCATACACCATTGAAAACATAGGTCTGGACCACCCCACAAACAAACAAACACCTTTTTGGTTTTAGGTAGAGGACACTATCCTCTATATATTTTCCCTTCCAAACTATTCAGCATTTTTTATTCAGCTAACTCCTTTACATTTTTCCCCTAGATGGTCCTATGAACTGAATACTGGATTTGGAGCAAAAAGACCGGCTTTGGAATCCCCAGTCTCTCATTTGCTACCTGTGTGACCTTTGGCTAGTACTTAACCTCTCTGGGCCCCATTTGCCTCATCAGTAAAATGAGAGATTGGACTAAATGAAGGCCACATTCCTTTCCAGCTCTCAGTCTATGACGCTATGCTAATTCATTTAACCTTTCCTCTTAAATTTAAGGTCTCTACCACTTAGGCCAGGCCTACACTAGGAAAAAATGTCTTCACTATTTAGATCAGGCCTAGGGTAGGAAAATTGTTTTTACTGATTCTATTATAATTTCTGAAAAAACCCCATAATCTTAATGTACCTTAAGTCTTTCATAGCAAATCTGAATTTATAAGCAACAGAATCAAATTTTAAATATGGCAGGGACCCCTAGATGAAGAAATAGCCCGACTAGAAATACAGGGATTAAATTACCCTTTGATCCCTTTTTGAAGCTCTTTTTGGAACTTTCTCTAAATTCTCTACATCTCTCAAAGTGTGGGATCCAGAATTATATACAGAGAATCATGTCCTTTGACTTTATCTTTTCCTCACAAGAGGAGTAAAGATAACTAGTAAAGTAATAATTAGATATTAATTCATTTTTTCCAGGGATCTTAGAGTATACTCGCTTTATACATGTAATATTACTTATCTCACAAACTCCCCAGAGGAGTGGAACCCATATTCTTATCAATATGCTTCTGAGAAGCAAGCCTCAAAATCAGGAAGAACTGGGTTCAAATTCTGCCTCTGGTATATATTGGTTTTGTAACCCTAGACAAATTATTTAACCTCTCAGTCCCCTAGACAATTTCCTGGGACTAAGTTCCAGAACATTTGCTGATCTACATCAGTAAAAGGGGTTTCCTCATCTTGAAATCATTAAATCAAGGAAATCACAGATCTAGAAAAAAAAGTCAGTCACAATCAAGTTGAATGACTTGGCCAAGGTCATCTGGCCAATGAGCAACTGAATCTGTCTCTTCAGAAGGTCTATTTAAGGATTTTTCTATTACACTGCTTCCCTGGGGCCTTCCAGGCCTTTGTCAATTATTTAGTTTTTAACAGAGACATAATGTTCTCCAATAAGGAGACAGAGTTTGGAAGCATCTCTGTAAACTGCTCAGGAGAAAACAAGGAGATAGCAAAGCCTGCCAACCATCAGAGACTATGGGAGCCAGCTCCTAAAAGATGAATTAGTGATCCTCTCCGTTGCTTAGAGAAGTCTGCCACCCAGCTTCCTCTGGCAGAACACGTGGCTATGTTTCTCCTTGGGCAGAGTAGGATCCTTTGATACTTCTCCCTGTTTTTTTCCTCTGGCTTTTCAGATCACAATTTTCAAATTGCTCTGGAATTAGATTACTCCTTTTGTTACTCTGTGTGTGTGTGTGTGTGTGTGTGTGTTTCGGTTTTGTAATGTGTTTTGTGTTTACTTAAACTCTGCTAACATGATATTAGGTTGCATAGTGTCTATCCACTATCCACTTGGAGTCAGGATGATTTCAGTTTATTTATTGCCTTGGACACTTGCTAGTTGTGTGACCCTGGGGAAATCACTTAACTCCTCTCAGCCTCAGTTTCCTCATCTGTGAAATGGAGATTCTACCAATTGTTAGGAATATAAAATTATATAATATATATCAAGTGCTTTGGAAACTTTAAAGTGAAATATGAATGTGAACTATTATTACTATTATATCTCACATTTATATATTGTTTTAAGATTTGCAAAACATTTCCCTTACAATCACCCTATCATATACTTCAAGTATCAACACCCCCATTTTACAGATGAGGAAGCTGAGGCTCAAGAGCTAAACTACATACCCAAGGTCACCTGACTAAGTAGCAAGCTTCAGGGCCCAGATTCCTGACTCCAAGTTCCAAGCCTGACTTGGAAAAGTAAAATGCTGAAGATGAAATCCTGAAATAAGAAAATGGTTGGCTTTTTCTTACTGTTTTCAGCTGCTGATTCTCATTCTCCACCCTGGATTAGCATAAAGAATTTATTCTAAGCAGTCTACAATAACTTTGCAGTTTTGATGTGGTTTTTGACTCAATGTGTGGAATGAAGCAATTAATTTTTAAAGTAGCTTTGTGATTCAATTTTTTCTTTCATACGTAAAACGGACAGAGTGTATTGCATTCAGATGTAAAAATGGTGATGGAAATCCTATCTATAAAATCTTAGGGGAACTAAGAAACTCTAGAAACTATACTCACAGACTGAAGAAGTGAAGAAGAGAGGAGAAAAAAGAAATGAGAAGGAACACTTATACTCTCCAAGATCAAATACATTTAGAGCACTTAACCTTTTCTGTGTATCATGGACCCCTTTGGCAGTTGGTTGACCCCTGTTCAGAATAATGATTTTTGCCTCCGTTCTTAATAGAAGGAAATGCCAAATTTTAATTATAGATTGATACAAATACGGATGTAATATTTTCCCATACAAGTTAATGGACCTTCTGAAATGATATGAAATGAATAAAAATCTGCAGAACCCAGGTTAAGAACATCTCCTCTAGGGAATTCAAATTTCCCCAAATTGGAGTCTGTTTCCACCTGTAAAGTCACCCATTAGCCTGAAGGGCAAAAGCAAACAAACAAAAACAAACAAGGGAGGACAGATTAGAAATTCTCATTGTTAGGGAGATTTTATGGACGGGCTTCTGTTTATTAAAAAAGCTGGGGCCGGCTTGCGAGCTCCCTTTCCTTATCCAATCGCGCCACCCCGCGGCTACCTTGGGCAACGCAAGCTCCTTCCCTTCCTGGTTAATATCCACTTCAAGTAGGCTCGAGTGGCTTTGGACCCAATGCCTATTCGAGTCAAGTCAAGGGGAGTTTGAAGACAATAAACCCCATTTTATGGGCGGGACAAAGGGAGGCAGTTAAACATAATCAGCCTATGAAGTAGCGGGTCTAGCCCGAAAGCTCAGTCTTTCCGAAACTTCGTTTCACGTTGAAATGGATTTCAGCGGCGGGATTACTTGCCCTTCATGCTGTTCCCAAACCCTAAGCTTTACACCCTTTCCGCCCCAAACCAGCTCCCTCTACCTCAGCATGCAGCCATGCCGAAGCGTCTTTGTGCGCGTTCCGTTTCCCCGGGCCGTTGGGGTCTCCAATCCGTGAAGCAGAGGGGAGCGGAAGATGCAAGCGCCAGTCCGCAAGGCGCGCATGGCTCTGACCGCAGCTCCCGAACTAGAGCCCCGCCCCAACCCTTTCCCCCTTCTCCGAGCACCCGCGTGCCGCGGCGCCCCCTGGCGGCCTAGTGGAGAGAAAGAGCAACGCTCGACGGAGACTGCGGGGCCCTGGGTTGGAGCGGAGACCGGGAGGTAAGGGACAAAAGCCATGTCTCCAGGCGGGAAGGATGAGCTCCTGCCTCTCTGAAGACCTTGCCTTCTTTCTCCTTCCCAGGGTGAGGGGAGTCTTCTGCCGCTCAGTATGTTTGAAGCTGGTGCTAGAATTGGGACAGAAAGGTGAAACGCTGCAGGAAGAACATCCCCAAGGGCCGGGATTTGGAGCCTCCGGTCTAGCCGCGGAGGTTCCTTTCTGAGTCCCCGGGCCTTGCACCGACTCTCCCGAGCTTCCCAGAGCAAACCAAACAAAAAAAAAATACTAATACTCTTCACCAAGTGAACCGAAAGCATCAATGTCAACTATCCTTTCAGCCTCCAACAAACTGCAGTCTTCTATGGACATGAATATGTCCATACCCCGTCCCCGTTTTTTGCTTTCCTTTTTCTTCAGGGGCTTGTTTTTCCCGTAATAACTTTGCGCCTTACAAGTAGCATTTTAATAAAAATAGAATACCTTCAAACCATGAGGGGGGAGAGCTTCATCGAAAGGAAAATGGAAATAATGGAAAAAAAGAAAGAAAAGAGGTTAAATACAAGCCATAGATTTTTACATTTGGTTATAATTTAAGTTATTCCAATCTAATGCAGTGGTGTGGTCATGGAGAAAACGCAGGCTTCGATGTTAGACCTGGGATCAATCACCTCGGACACATACTGGCTGGGAAGGTCCTGGGCAAGTCGCAATCTCTCAGTGCTATAGGACACTCCCAAAGACTCTCTTAAGGCGCAGAGAAGGTACTGACTTGGATTGGTAAAGAGTTCCCTATACCAGTGAAATCTCAGCTATAGTCCCTATTTCTGTTTTTGCTTTCACTTGTATCCCAGTCACTTAGAACAGTGTCAGGCACATAGTACTTAATATATACTTGTTAACTATATTACACATACATATGAAATAACAGATATGGATAGGATTTGTAGCTTCATCAGTGCAAGGGAGTTCCTGGTGTGGAAATTTTCTCTACAGATGCAGCCTGGTAATTGCCTGTAAGTCACGGGTTTGGGACACTGAAGATAATAGAGGGATCCAAAGTCACAGGTGATATGATGTAATATGTGTCAGACAGGACTTCCTGCTACAAGATGCATTGCTATCCTCTATGCCACGTTGCCTCTCATGCAAAATATGTATAAATACATAATTTATAGAGGAAAGCATAATTAATACGTTATCTTTACATAGATAGATGGTCACTGATGGAAGTTATCCATAACAATCTTTAGATAAATCCCTAAGGTCCTCTCTTTGAGTCCAGGATAGCTGAGTTCAGCTAAATAAGAGCTTCAGTTTTACTTGATATGGTCTGTCTGCCGTTATGCGGGTGCATACACACACACACACACACACACACACACACACACACACACACACACACACACGTGGGTCCTTCTATATATCGCATGGATAAATAAATCATTTATCTCCAAGGTAGTTGGTAGCCCCAGTGCTGAAGGATCAGAAGGGCTTTGCTGCCTCCCGGTGGCCGCAGGGCGCCATGGCAGGCCTTGTTTTAGGGGTTTGAAGAGGGGTCGGAGGTTGGTTGATTTGTGTGTGTTCGCGCGAGCGAGGCTGCTGATGCGTTTTTTCTCCTCATGCTTTTTTGATTGAAGCGGTGATGTCTGCCTCTTTTATTAATAACGGTATCGGGGGGGAAAAAAAGCCAGAAGCCTTAAAAAAACAGAAGAGGTGGTAAGGATAGAGCGGAGGGAGGGAGGGGAAAGCAATAAAACTAAGATCGTTTCCTAGGCAAGATAGCGTGGGCTATAATGCGGTGGAGAGATCAGGGGTTTATTTGCAGATCCTGGATAAAAGATGATATATCGACACGGTTTAGAGTGTCACTCTGCTCGGGCTCTCATGAAGCCACAAGTACATATTTCCTGAAATATTGCACAATACAATATCTAATCCACGCCACCACTTAAGGAATGGGAAACCTAATATCTCATACATCACCCATATGGTCTTTCCCCTCTAAGAATAGGTTGGGGACCCCTGGCAGGACATAGTTCTCCCCACTCCCACCCCTCCCCAAGAACTGGGGCTTTGTTTTACGTTCCCAAGTAATCACTTAGTGATCTGCCTTTAATAAATACAACTGAGAATTGTTCTTATACTTGGTAAATATTGGATTAGCTTTTCAATGACCAGACTCTTGAAAAGACTCAAGAAATCCACACCAGGTCTCAACTAAGCTCAACAGTCAATAGGTAAGGAAAATAAGTTATTTCCATGGCTTAGAGGGGTTTCCACTCATTATCAGGCTATCTGATTTTTCTTAATAGGAAGAGAAAAGGAGAGGTAGGGAAAGGAAGAGAAATATTTAAACATAAAGCACAGGATTAACTGGAATTTCCTTCATTTTGGTCTCGGTTCACTTAAGGATGTTTCCTTTTACATTGCAACTGTCCTTTAGTTTATTTTAATTTCACGATAGCAAGCAATGTAATCCTTTAGTGGCCAGGTATTTATTTGCTTTGCTTGCTTTTCATATATTCTTTCACTTCAGCATGCAAAGATGGCACAAGCAACGATTCTGCATCACCCATGACAATAAAGGCCAATAAAACCACCTTGTTAAAGTCCGCCCATAGGGATAAAAATAGGACAATAGCAACCTCAGAAGTTTTGTGTCCATCTTTCCTCGTACCTCTATTTTCCCCTCCTTTCTGATTTTTGAAAATATCCTTTTGTGTATTTTTTTAAAGGAACTGAATGATCATTGAACAGGGCAATTCCCTTCCCATTCCATTTCCATCCAAGGGAGGGAAAAAAAATGTTGGGGAAAGTCTCTGTCACAATAGAAACACCAGCAACATTGTGGAGAGGACAGCAGTGAACTATAAGAAGGAGTAATCTGCTGGTCTCCCATTCTGGATATCTGAGCAGTTTGCCAAGGAAAAGGGACACCTGGCTCTCTGTTGCAGGGCTCCAGGAAGAATCATATTATTGAACTGGTTATTACTAATATTTCTGGCCTCTCCACTATGAATGGACCTGTATAAAAATTGTCTTTTGAGATTATATGGCATGTTATTGAGGAGGGGAAAGAGGAATGTTTCTTTTCCTGTCTGGGAATCTGAAGCCAGTTTCAGCTTAGGTTCCAGTAAGGCTCCTGAGGTCTTCATCAGAGCTTGAAGCCTTGCCTCCTTCACCCAAATCTTCCAACTAGCTCTCTCCCCCAAACCAGGACTTGGAATCTTCTAATAGGCCTCAGCAGGAGCCTGAAAGAGTGGTAGCATCGAGAGTTGGTTTGGGGTCTCTTTTGGAAGTTGGGGAGCAGTAAAGGAAGAAAAAAGGAGACTTTGCAGGAGCAAGTACCAGACCCCAATAACCACTCTTCTTATCATCTGCAGTGTCCAGAGGCCAGAAGAAGCCTGTGCACTGAGAAGAGAAGACTGGAACTTCCGGGTTGAAGGTTTGAAGGCAAGTGCATTGTCGACTGAAAAGCAGTGGACTTGGTTAGATAGTGAAAGCTAATTTCATAAAGAAAGAGGAGAATGAGGAAAGAGAAGGGGAAAGAAGATAGTGGGGAGGGGGAGAGAGAGAGAGAGAGAGAGAGAGAGAGAGAGAGAGAGAGAGAGAGAGAGAGAGAGAGAGAGAGAGAGAGAGAGAAGCAACTTGTCAGAGGCCAGCACTGGGGCCTTCTGAAGCCATCAAAGACAGGGTGGCTTTTTTTCCCTTTTACTACCTCCCCCTTCTCCACCCCCCCCAATAGATATAGCACGAATTTTTAATGCGTCTTCCTTTCACAGACAACAATACTGGGTTTGAAAGCTGGACACAATTTGGGTTTTGTGAAGGTCCCTCTTCGCCCTCCCTCAGCCCAGCTGTCCATATGGAATACAGCATGTAGGACAAGAATCACAATGGGACCCAGTGACAGGACCAACAAAACCCCCAGGAGACTTCTGCCTGACTCCGGGATTCACTGCTCCTGATAAACGAATTGAATACCACTAAATGGGAGGATGGAGGGAGGGGCGGGGGGTAAGGGGAGTGTAGCACCGTCTTTCTCCCTTTTTCCTTGTCTCTGTCCCCTGTGAGTCCCTTTCTCTCTCCCTCCTTAATATGCACGCCTCTAACATCCTCAGCTCCCAGCCTCCCCCATTGTGCTGTTTTGTGATGTATACTGTAGATTGGGCAAAGATAGACTGCAGAAACTGCCTCCATTGCATGCGAAATATAAGGCCAGAGGGGTTAGGGCCACACAGGACTTCAGCGGGTTTATTGACTTCATAGGGACCCAGAGGAAAAAAAGTGGTGAGCTTGCTAACCTCTCTCCTGTCCCCCCTCCCAACACTAACACACACACACACACACACACACACACACACACACACACACACACACACACACATACACCTCTGCTCCACTTTGCTGCCAAATTATACACATAGATATCTACTATTTAATGGAGCAACTCTTTGTTGATCTTGGACGGGGAATATATTAAGAGAATTACATCAGATTTGAGTTTGGAAGTTTACAATAAGATTCCCTCTAGATAACTCTCACATTTATAGAAGTAGCACAAGTTGATTAATATTTTTTCTCCCAAACCAAGATAATGGCCTGGTTAATTTTCAATGAACTTATTTTGAATTACACCCCCTTCCATTTTTTGGGGGGTGAGGGGAGGGTGATTCTCTTTGGTTCACTCTGATCAGATAGAACCCTAGGACTGTGAAAACGGTCAAAGGATGAGCTGATTTTGTAACTTTCCTCCCTGGAACAAATATCATGGTTTTTTAAATCTCAGCAACGACTTTTCCCTCTGTTCTTTAAAAAAGAAAGAGAATCTTTTAGGTTTTCAAGTCAG